AGAAGGTTGGCTTGCATGATAGGGTGGGCTGTATTCACAACTCTGTAGTTTCTTACAGTCCTAGCAGAACAGGTGCCATATCAAACCATGATGCATCTCTATACAATATTTTCTACGGTGCATCTATAAAAATTGGTAAAAATCTTTATAGACATGATGAATTTCTTAGCCTCCTGAGGAAGTAGAGATATTGTTGAGCTTTCTCAACCATTGCATCAATGTGGGTGGATCAGGAGAGATTGTTGGTGAATGTCATTCCTAGGAACTTGACACTGTCGACCATCCCCACCTCAGCTCCATTGATGTAGTTGGGGTGTGCCTTCCACCTTGCTTCCTGAAGTCAATTACCAGCTCTTTCATTTTGCTGATGTCGAGGGAGAGATTGTTATTTTTACACCACACCACTAAGCACTCTATCTCTTTCCTGTATTCTGTTTCGTCATTGTTTGAGATCTGGTCTACAATGGTGGTGTCATCAGCCATTTTGTAGATGGAGTAAGGATGAAATTTGGTCACTCAGTTATGAGTATGCAGGGAGTATAGTAAGCGGATGATTACGCAGCCAGCGTTGAGGATAGTCATGGAGGAAGTGTTGTTGCCTATTCTTACTGATTGCATTCTGTGGATCAGGAAGTTGAGGATCCAATTACAGAGGGCGGAGCAGATTAGTCTGGTTGGAATTATGGTGTTGAAGGTGAAACTGTAGTCAATAAGTAGGAGCTTGGTGTAGGTATCCTTGTTATCCAGTTGTTCCAGGGATAAGTGTAGGGCCAGGGAATTGGCATCTGCCGTGAACCTGTTACAATGGCAGGTGAATTGCAGTGGATCAAGGCAAGTTGGGAGGCTAGAGTTGATATGAGCCATGACTAACTTCTCAAAGCACTTCATAATTATGGAGGTTTTAGGTGAACCTCTTCAATCTCTCCTTTGACTGGGTCCTTGACGTTGACTGGACCTAGAAAGATAAGAGAGTAAAGGATTAACAGTTAATGATAAAGATAGTAGCGATAAATGGGTGCAGTTGAAGGCTTTGAAATGCATTGTGTGTGAGGGTGACAGTTCAGTGAACAGAGGAGAAGAAAGGAAAGAGAATAAGTGATCTGCAGAATGCATTCTCTGGCATTATCAGTTGCAACACTTGTGACAGGCTTTCTGGCTACTATCTTCATTGTAGTCTGTTACATTGGCACAGAATCTTATGAGATGATGCCTCTCCTTTCCTCATCAGTTCTATGGTATGGGATACAAGCTTGCCCATCATAAAAAATGTAATTTATTTGTGTCAGCAGCTGGAAGGCTGTGAAGGTATGTTCATCATAGGAGAGTAGTGTGGATGGTGAAGGGAATGCAGGGAAGATGAGGGAGATATTTTTGAAGACAGCAGAAAGTGCAACATGTACAAGAGGCAGCAGAAGGAAGTTCAGTTAAAATGTATTGTTTTGATTTTAGGAAAGTGAGGTGATGTAGGTGAGGAAAACCTTGTCAGTATTGAGGTTACAAGAATGAGCAGAGAGTGAGGGAGATATGGGTTGAAGTCTTACCTTAACAGTTTTAGCCAAATCATTAAATTTCTTGCTGTATTGCCCAAAGGTCCTAGAAACAGTCCGAAAAAAGTATTTCCTCCTCTTGTTCGCCTCTTCCTCAAAGATTCCAGAATGATTTCTGAAAATTGAAGTGACCCTCTGGAACATTTTCTAGGTGCCATCTTACCCAAAGAAAAATTTACAAAGGGCACCCTGCCCTTTTAAAAGGCACATGCTACTTTTAAATGGCATCACACCTACCAAATATTCCTTTCTCTTTGTTGGTGAGTGTTGATACACCGCAAAGATAGCATTGTACACTTTCAAAATCAACTCAGGCACAAACACCAGGCTAGCTTTCACTGCTCTTATTGAATGTGCAGATTTGTCATGATGCCCATTGTGCTCTTCCTTTCCGTATATGTTAAATGTTCAACTTATGATTCAGTTACACACTGTCTTTGCCATTTGGACACCATCATCTATAATCGTTTATTATTTCAGACATTTGTATCTATTCACTAGGAACTAAATCATTTTACAATCCAAGTCATAACATTTGCTGCCAACAAGCATGGAACATTTAAAAAGTTGAGTATTGACCGAATATGTAGTTTGAAAGCAATCCAATTCTTTGACCTTCCCTTGACCATTTATTATACTTTTTAACAAATGTGTTCTGTGCAGTTAGAAGAAATTCCCCTTTGTTTACTCTTATGCACGTTAGTTCTTGAAAGAGTCTTACTTGCTGATTTGTTGCCTAGTTTAATGTTACTGGGAAAAAAACCACAATAAAATTGGCAGAATTTTCTGCACGGGCAATGAGCTGATATTCTATCACTGCAAGAGGAATAAAGAAAGAAATTTGGGAGTATATGCAATTTATCAATAAAGAGAATTAAATGGAGGTTAGGACCCCTGAGAAGACAGAATAATTAGTTATTAGAGAGTAAACAGATATTGGTGGACACAATGAACAAGTACATTAATAGCAAAGGATGACTAAGGAACGAGTAGAGACCATTAAGATCCACAGTGGTAACTTGTGCGTGGAGCAGCAGGACGTAGGTAAGGTTCTAAATTAATAGTTTGTGTTGGCACTCACTAGTGAGAAGGATGATGTGGGTATAGAAATCAGATTGAAGGATTGTGATATAATTAAAGAAATTAGCATGGACAGAGAGGAGATTTTAAGTGGTTTAACAAGCTTCAAAGTAGATAGATATCCATGGCCAGATGGAATATATCTCAGGCTGTGGAGTGAGGTAAGGGAGTTAGTAAGAAGGGACACTGGCAATAATTTTCAATTCCTTTCTGGCCACAGGACAGGTGCCAGAAGATTGGAGGATAGCCAATGTTATACAGTTATTTAAGAAGGGAGGAATGGATGAATCGAGAAACTACAGGCCAGTCAGTCTAACCTCAGTAGTGGGGAAACTATTGGAAACAATTCTGAGGGACAGAATTAATCTGTACTTGGAGAGGCAAGGATTAATCAAGAACAGTCAATGTGTTTTTTTTAAGGGGAGGTCATGTCTGACCAACTTGAGTAGATTTCAGCAATGCTTCTAATAAAGTCCTGCATATGAGACTGATAGTGAGGGTAACAGACCCTGGGATCCAAGGGCTGACTGACTCCAGAACTGGCTGAATGGCAGGAAGCAGAAGGTGATGGTCGAGGCGTGTCTCTGCGACTATGCCCAGTGCAGTCCCATAAGGATCAGTGTTGGGGCCTTTGTTGTTTGTGATTTATTTAAATGATTTAGACTTGAATGTAGGAGGGTTGATCAGTAAGTTTGAAGATAACATGACAATTAATGGTCTAGTAAATAGTGAGGAGGATAGTCTTAGATTACAGGAGGATATAGATGGACTGGTCAAATGGGCTGATCAGTGGAAAACTGAATTCAATCTAGATAAGTGTGAGGTGATGCACTTGGGAAATACAAAGAAGGCAAGGGAATATAGAACGATCGGACCCTGGGAATCATCCAGAATCAGATGGATTTTGGTGTGTATGTCCACTGATCCCTTAAGGTAGCAAGACAGGTAGGTAAAATGGTTAAGAAGAGATTTGTGACACCTTTATTAGCTAAGGCATAGAGTTTAAGAACTGGGAGGCTATGCTGGAACTGCATAAAACGATGATGAGGCCACAGCTAGAGTATTGGGTGCAGTTTTGGAATCAGCATTATAGGAGGGATAGATCTGCACTACAGAGGGTACAGAAGTGATGTAGGATGTTGCCTGGGCTAAAGAATTTTAGATCTGAAGATAGGTTGGATAGATTGGGGTTGTTTTCCTTGGAGCACAGGAGACTGAGAAGAGGCATGATTGAGATTTATAAAATTGAGATGCAAAGATGGGGTAGACAGGAAGAAACCTTTCCTCTTAGTGGAGGGATCAATGACCAGAGATAAGTGGGAGGAGATTTTGAGGGGATAAGAGGACATTTTTTATGCATCCAGAGGATGGTGTAAACATAGAACTCACTGCCTGTAAGGATGACAGAGGCAGAAACCTTCATAACATTTAATAAGTGTTTAACACAAGGCTATGGGGGCCAAGTGCTGGAAAATGGAATTAGAATAGTTAGCTGTTATTTTTGATCGGTGCATACTCAAGAGACCGAAGGGCCTTTTTCTGTGCTGAAGTCCTCTATGACTCTTTGCATCAGTGAATACGAATTAGTTAAATACATGAGGAGGTAAATCTTGAATTGAGTCACAAGTGAGATATGGTAATAAATAAAAGAAAAATATTACTTACGCTAATAAACCTGGTCTAAAGAATTCCTTGAACATAATCATGCTAAGAATGGAGGAAGACTGGGTGATGTATCAGGATAGAAACATTTAGGAGTTCAGGTGTTTACAACAATAAAAGTAGCACCTCACGTGGATAAGAAATTGCTTTATGTTCTTTGATATTCAAAAGGAGTGAATACTGTCATGTAGAATCTTGGATAAATTTCGCTCTTTATGCCTCTGCCCTGTAAATCAACAAACTTTCTTGCATTTTTATTTCAACAAAGAACAGTGTTTGTGAAGTTATTTTGTCATTTACTGCCTGATAGTAACCAGATTGACATGTGCAATACATTGATTGTGTACTTCCACAGACATTACTTATATTTTCTTGTTCATGCTCTCTGGCCCAGAAAGTACAAGCTGTTTCCAAAATGTCACAAGTCTTACTGTTTCGATAATGTAAAAGTTCTTCACAATAAACAGATAATGCCAATTTTTAGTTTTCTGCAACAATCTGATTGATAGGTCATAATAGTGTAATTCCCTCTAATCCAAAAATGTGATTAATCCCAGTCTATCTCTATGTTTACAGATCTTAACATAATTGTAAACGTTTTATTGTATATACATTATTTATCAATATTTTATGTGGAAGACTGTACTACATGTGATGCAGCAAAATCATAATGCCACAAAATAAAATGATGCAGATAATATGGCTTCTTACTATATAGTTCTGTGTTTCTGTTGAGAAATACGCTCTTCAGTCTGGTTCAATTCATTCTGACAATGAAGCAGCTGCTGTCTTAGTTTGTTGACCTCTGTATCGTAACTCTCAGGAAATTGATCACCTTTTTCCAACTCTTGCCTTTGGCGCTCCAATTCAGCAGTATAGAACTTAGCATCCTGTAATAACTTGACCTCAGACTCCTGCGTCCTGAAAATATAAATAAGTTCTTCCAGTTATAAGGCTATTACATCACTACAGTTATAAGCCAATTACTTAAATTATATTACAGAAATAATTTAGAAAAGCATAAACAAAGACAAACTACAGGGTTTAGTTAACTATCTGGGAAGTTGCACAGAATATTTCAGATTTCTGAATGGAAATGGTATTAATTGAAATACAAATGATAATACACCAGCTGCTAATTTAAAAATCCAGTAATTGGCACTACGGGGGAAAGGTTAGTCAAAATAAATGGCACACAACAATAAGTGTGCAAGAAGTCTTGCATAATGAGTAAACTTAATGTCTGTGTTTGAAGTCTCCTTGGTCTCTGTTTATCAGATGACAAACTGTAAATTCTGATGTTTTCTTAACTAATTTCCAGAAACGAACCTAACTTGTGGACTGTACTGTTTGCCTAGAGCCATGCTGATTGATTCAGGAGACTTGGTTGGATCTCACCATGTCACATCAACACATAAAAGTCTTGAATCTTGACATAAAAATTTAGAATGTGTACACCTGGAAATACACCTGGATTATCATTGGGGATTACCTTGTTTGATGGGTGTAACTTCAGCAGCGATCAAGAGAAACCTAATTTGGACGTGTAAATGTGGTTTCTATTAATCATGTATCAAAGTTCTAGAGGCCAATCAGGAGAATCTGCGCAGAAATTTCCTCGCAAGACTAATTGTTAAAGAAATTATTTTTAAAGTTTTACAGTGGTAAGCATGCATAAGCTCAAAAATTCTCTTCTGGAGGAATTGTGTGTGTACCACAAATGATTATGAATATTGAATTTGCTGTGGGCTACAGTGAAAGACCATTCCTGATCTGTCCAGTCTGTAACTGTTGTTTCAAGAAGCCACCGGTTTGCTCAATCAGGGCTTAAGTTAATGCACGTATCTCATTAAATCAGCACGCTGCATCTGTAGTTGTGTTCCTGACATTGATGAGGGCATAGCCTTTCTCTCCCAGCAGCCAGCCTACCATGTTCTGGGTGAAACAGAGGATTTATTGAGAATTGTGCATTATGAATTTGTCATAATTACTTCCAGAAAACTATGACCAGGCTTGTTTGATTTGCTGTTGCCCAGTAGAAGCATATGTGTCCAAGTGTGTGCACTCTATGATGCCCTGCATCTGTGACAATTCAGCGATGTGGGTGTGTGCCAGTACGCTTTCTTAGTTGTCAGCCTTCATGATATAGTAAATGAATTGTTAATGTGTCACATAAACCTGTCAGATTGGGCATTAGAGAATGATTTATGTTGCTAATGTTACTGCCAGAGAAAACTGGGACAAGCCAGGGGGATTCAGTGCTTCTTATCTCCACTGAGATGTGTTGAGAGGCAACAATACCACTCAAAATACTCAACCCAGATCAAATTGATATATGCAATAGGTGATCAATTCTGAATTCAGGAAAACATGATTACCATCATAAATTGATCTTGGATGGCTGGAAATTGACTGATTTTCTGTTTCATGTAACCAACAGAGGGATACTCTGGTGAAAACCCAGATTATTTCCTATTTTATGAGACGAAAGGGATATATTTCTTTCCTTAGTGGTTTGGGGTGTAGTGGTTTGGATCTCAGGAACCCTCTTCTGGAATGGCACATTATGGCTCTGACTTCCATGTTTACAATGAGGCAGGGCACCCAATCTACTCAATTAAATAGCTCAATTCCCAAGATTCATAATGAGTCAGCAGCAGAAGGAAGTACCTATCTCACTTTGATACCCTCAGAAAAAAATTAGTGGAGTTGCCTGAGAAAAAATCAAATCCAAATAACATTTCTAATTAAAACATTTGATGCTGATGAATTTAGGATACCATAAAATAATTACCCCAAGGACACACATATTTTCAACAAAAACTGATTACCAATACAACAACCAATAATTAACAAATATCACTAAACGCTGTACCTTTTTAAAGCTTCAAGCAATAGAATGTACTTGGATTTCAAATGAGCAATTTGAGTTCCTGCAATTTTTCCAGCAGAAAACAACTGGAAGTTAGAAAAGAAAATTATGTTTTAGTAATAGTGTATTGAAAATACAATAATTATTACTTTTTACTCAATCCAATCGGAGTTAGTGGAAATAAAATATTAATATTTCTATCTTAAATAGCTTATCACAATGTTATTCATGATAAAATCAAGCTTTTATACTTGTAAAACTGCAGGCATACTAGACTTGGAAATCTGTATGTCATAATTATTCTGTACTAGGCAGTTACCAGGCCCCAGGCAGAACTAACAATATACAAACTCTTCGCATGTGCAACCCAATGGGGAGGTTTATTCCAAAGCTGCGCAAAGCTCTGTAAGAGCTCAAACAAGTCTAAACAAGTCCATGAGCACTGGCTGAACGCTCACAAGTGTCACATGACTGATTTCTAACAAGAACACTGCCCCAAGATAACATACACCAACTATAATACATACAGGCAGTCCCTGGGTTGTGAACAGGTCCATTCTTGAGTTCATTCACAAGTCGATTTGTACGCAAGTCAGAGCATAATGCAGGAAATATAGCCATTTATAGGTACAGAAAACATTTGTATATATCAGATCTTTAAAATTACATCCCCCATATGGCATTGTGTTTGTAAGTTGGATGCTTGTAAATCGGGACCCTTGTAGTAGTAATTAAAGGAGCTACATTGGATTGGGACTGATGATTTCCTTCAGTCTTGATCTTAAGAAATTTTGTGTGGTCAGTGAGATGATACCTACTTCCTGTGAGGTTGATAAGTACCCATTGTCACTATGGGTGAATCCTAATAATCCTCATCCAGCTAGCAAAAGGATCTGTGTTCTCTGCAGTTCTCCTCTGAGCTCTTTGGCTAAGCGGACTAAACTTAAATTGATTTTGTTTATAAAGATAATCAATGTTCAGGTTATGTCCCTTGCCTGGACCTCACCACACAACCATTGATGGGCTCTTCTGTAGGAAGTATCACTCATCTGATCACATGAACTATTGTCCAATCTTACATTTGTCCTGTAATGGTGTGCAGAGCAGGACCCACAATGTAGTGACTTCCTGTATCTTGCATATTATTAGAAATGGGCAGAAGCCAAAAGAGCAAACTAAGATTTCCTGATTGAAGATTTGTACTTCACCTAACCACTGTTTTGTATTAGCATGCATATGGTCTAGTGCTGTAGCTTTACAAGGATGGTATCCTATTTATCATAGGCTGGTGCTGCTCCCGACATATTCTTCTATACTCCTCATTGAACTAGGTTGGTCCAAGTGCTATCCTTTTCCTGAGCACTTCTAATGGACTCTTGCAAGAGTTGCTGAAGAAGAAAGGTAGAAAAGCCAACAAAAGCTAACTCCATACAATCTAAAACATTGTTAAAATGACAAACTCAGTTCAGTAATTTTCAAATGGAAGTCCATGGATACCAAAATGTCTGTAGAAACTTTTCAGACTCTGTGATATAATGTGAAAGGGCTTCCTTGAGATGCTCTGACCATCACCAGCAGCAGCAAAATTATTTGAGGCAGGTGATTGCCTTGCAGTGTTAACTAGACTTTTAATCCAGAAATTCAGATAATGTTCTGGGGACCCAGGTTGAAATCTTGTCACGGCAGATGGCGGTATTTGAATGCAATAAAATTGTTATGACTTTGAAATCCATTGCTGATTGTTAAAAAAAAAAAAGCCAATCTGGTTCTTTTGAAGATTTGTGCACGGAACAAGCCGTGTCCTTAGTCAAACTATTTCAATACAGCTACAAAACTGCTGTCTACCTGACAAAGTGCAAAATTGCTAATATATGTCCTGTCCACAAAATACAGGACAAATTGAACCTGACCAATTACTGCTGCGTTAGACTACTCTCAAAATCAGCAAAGTGTTGCAATATGCTGTCAACAGTTCTAACAATTGACATTTACTCAGCATAAGCTGCTTAGCTGTGGTTCTGCCAGGGCACTTGTCTCTAGCCTCGTTAAAGCCTTGGCCTAAATATAGACAAAAGAATAGAAAAGGTAAGTTCAAAGGTAAACTTGCCATAGTCTTACTCTTTTATTAGAGAGAGATGATTGATGATGGTTTAACGTGAGGGTCACAATGCCTCAGGCAAGAAGAGAGGTTTAGAAGGAGGGATCTTCATGGTAAGCTCAGCCAATACAGGAATTGAACCTGCGCTGTTGGTATCACTCTGCATTGCATGAAATAACAGTGGTTGTCCTTTACATCATTGAAGCATTTGACCAAGTTGGCATCAGGAGCCCTAGTAAAATTGAAATTGATGGCAATTTGGGAGGAAATTATTCATAATTTGGAGTCATAAGACAAAAGAAAGATGGCCGTGGTTGTTGGAAGCCAATTTCAGCCCCAAGCCATTTCTGCAAGAGTTCCTCATGGCAGAATCCTAAGCATAATTATCTTCAGCAATTTCATCAATGGCCTTTCCTCTATCAAGGTCAGAAGACATGAGATTGGTACCATGTTCAGCAGACTTTGTGACTTCTCAGATGCTGAAGTAGTCTGTAAACATATGCAGTAAGAACTGGATGGCTGCAAGTGACATTTTCACCAGATAAGTGCCAGGCAATGACCATCTCCAAAAAGAGATAATCTGACCATTCTCTCTCAACATCCAATAGCATTGTCATCACTAAAACCACCATCAATGTCCTGGAAGTTAGCAATGGTCAGAAACCGACCTCGACCAGCCTTGTAATTACAACAGAAAGTCAGATATAGGGAATTTTGCACTGAGTAACCCAGCTCCTGACTCTTCCAAGTTTGCCCACAATCTACATGGCAAATGTCTAGTGTGTGATGGAATCCTTCCATTTGCTTGTATAAGTGCAGTTCCAACAGCTGTTCTTGCTTAGGAAGATTGACATAATTGAGAACAGAACAGCATGCTTGATTGGCGCCCTCATCCACCAGTTTAAACGTTCACTCCCTCTACCACTGGCAAGCTGCCTGTATGATCTATAAGATGTGCTACAGCAACTGCTAAGCCTCCTTTGACAGTATCTTCCTAACCAGTGACTTCTACCTGCAAGATCCCCTCTGAAACACACACAATCCTGACCTGGAATGTTATTATTTCCTCACTGTCAATGGGGCGGAGGCATAGAACTCTGTTCTGAAGAAGTCATACCGGACTCAAATACTAGCTCTGTTTCTCTGTCCACAGAAGCTGCCAGACCTACTGAATTTCTCCAGCATTCTCTGTATTTGTTTCAGATTTCTAGCATCCACAGTATTTTGCCTTTATTCAGGGACTCTCTCTCTTGCATCACTGTGATGCACCAAAACCATATAGAAGTGCAGCAGTTCAAGTAGATGGTTCATCACCGTATACTCAAGGATAATTAGTGATCACTCAAATCCTAAGACTGACTATTAAAAAGTTAGATAGGAACACTTACCACTGCTTAACTGCACTGCTTTTTGGTCAAAATACATATGGAATGACTCTGTAAATGTTAATGGAATTTAAGTTTCTTGAATTGGTGCAGTATCATATCTTGAGATGCATCAACTATCAAATTAGTCTCAAATCATTTGAGGAAGGGTCACCAGACCCGAAACGTTAACTCTGTTTTTTTCCTTCACAGATGCTGCCAGACCTGCTGAGCTTTTCTAGCAACTTTGTTTTTAGTCTCAAATCATCCTTCAGCTGGCATCCCATTTCTCTGGCATGCCACTGCTTTATTGAAACTGAGTAAATCAAAATCTGTTTTTAAGTATGTGAAATTATTACAAGCCCACTGAGGAATCATATTTTTGAAATTCTTGCACTTTCCTCTGAGAAACAAGAAACTATGACTTTTATATGGAAGGGTTTACAAATGCAATTGCCAAATATCTCAGAATAATAGATGTTCACACCCATCTGTGTGATATGTGTAAGTAAATAATTTTCCTTTTCAAAATACCAAAATACTCATTTTCTGCATATTATGATATGGAAATGATATTGTAAAAGACTACTATTCAGACAGGAGAGTGCATTATTAGTAATCCATTTAAATAGGGGTGCTTCAGCCAAAAAGAACGTCAAGAACCACTGGCTTAAATAAACCAGCTATTTGATGCCAGTCAAATGTACTCCACATGAAACAGCATATCAAAGGGCTCCTTTGTGTAAAAATCCTATATAAATACAGTTTGTTTTAATTGTTGTTGATTGCATGTATAATTGGTTTCAAATGACAACTGGCTAGTTATTAACTCAAACTATTAATATACAATTCTTTAATCCCCACCTCTCATGAAGATTATGCTGCAAATGGTATAAACCTGCACATCTGAGTTTGCAACAATTTTTAATGATACTATTGTAAGTAAAGTAACTACGCTGACAAAAGGCAAACCAATAACATAATTTAACTTAAAATAGTCATCTTACAAACAATCATTTTAAGAGAAGAGAAAAAGATTTAGTTGATGTTCCAGTTGTTAAATCTGTATTGTCATTCCAGGAACTTTGATGATTGTCATTTGTATTAGTATGACCCAATCAACTATGGAATTGTGTCATGGCTTATTGTACAGGCTGCTGATACAATACTAGTGGTTTGCAGTTGAAACAGTGAAGTTCAGACTGCCAAAAATGTTCAGTGATGTTACTAACACAAAATCCACTTAATATTAATGAAAATACTGTCAGTTCTTTTCAACGGGGGTTTAGAAATGAGTGGTTGGAGTGTGATTCCTCAAACCGAGAAGTTCAAGGACCTCAGGAGGGCAGCAATGGTGAATGACCCAATAGGTGTCAAGCTGAATACCTTTGACATTCACAGCATTTTCCTGCACAGTGGCCTTCAGATTAATTAACCTTGCAACTCCACTCATTCCTCTCTCTCTAGATACCAGCTTAAATTCCCATCTGATTGTCCACACAGACACTTAGCTTCACTTTTGTGCTGCCTGACATCTATGTCTCACAGCCACCCTCCACAAATGCAATCCTTTCCTATCTCCACACATTTCCCACAATCACAACTTCAAGCTTTCTTTCCATGC